AGAACAGTCAGTGTTCTTAACTGCTGAGCCATCTCTCCAGCCCCAGAAGTATTATTTTAAAGCAGGTATTAATTTAAGCATCTGAAGGTAAGTTCCAGAATGCAGAGAAGTTTTCAGTTTGGCTGTTGTAGGCAAACTGAAGGGTCACATGCAGCCTCCGCAGCATGTTTGTTTATAGATTGAAAATCTTACTACATTACTCACAGGATGAGAATCTTTTACTTTACTACCTACTTTCTTCCAAGAATTTGCTATAAATATGTTTAATTATATAGTGCATTAAAATTTTTGTTCATCATACTTGAAATTACTATTCTAGGTGACACAGCAAGATGTTAAAAAAGAAAATCCTTTACAGTTCAAGTTTAGAGCTAAATTCTTTCCTGAAGATGTTTCTGAGGAATTAATTCAAGAAATAACGCAGAGACTTTTCTTCTTGCAAGTTAAAGAAGCCATCTTAAATGATGAGATATACTGCCCACCAGAAACTGCAGTTCTTTTGGCTTCCTATGCCGTCCAAGCCAAGTATGGAGATTATAGTAAAGAGATTCATAAACCAGGCTATCTGGCTAACGACAGACTCCTACCACAGCGGTAGGTGAAGCATGCCCTCTGTTATGTTCTCATAAAAATACATTCCAGGAGTTTATGCTAAACATTTTTAAAAAAGATTTTTAGGTTGCCAGGTGGATCAGAGTCTGTTTAGGATTATGAGCTAGTCACTGCACAGTTTTGTGTGTTGTGCAATTGTCTCCCTCTTCTGTCTTCATTTCTCTAGGATAGGCAACAAAGGAGATTTGTGCATGAAGGATGGATGTGAATTGTTTAGTGAAAACTTGAACACAAGCAGATAGGTGTTTAATAAATACCTGTGAGGAGCTACAGGGATGGCTCACTAGTTGAAAGCACTAGCTGCTCTTACAGTGGACTCAGGTTTGGTCTGCAGCACCCACAATGGCAGCTAACAACTCTCTGTAACTTTATTTTCATAAGATCCAGTGCCCTCTTCTGGCTTCCATGGGCATAACATGCACATGGTACACTTACATATGTGCAGGCAGAATACTCATACATGCGGAGAATTGAGATTGCAAAGTGAATTGGACACCTATATCAGACTTTTGCCTCCAAAGGCTCAGGGATCATTGAGGAAGGGGCGGTGGGCAGGGTGGGGTAAAAAGATTATAAGATCCAGAGGTGGTGGAGGACCACAGAGAGTTTTCCACACAGCTGGTCAGTTGCTCATAGGAACTCACAACAATGGTGAAAGCATGCACAAGTCCATGGAAGCTCAAGCCAAACTCCAGCCCTACCTGAGGAGCTGTTGGAATCCAATGGGTGCTGAGAGGGGAGGTCAGTCATTTTTAAGGGTGTGATTCTTGGTAGGCTAACTAGGCTTCAGAGGATGGAACCACACTGAAGGACATTTGGAGACACAAATTTGAGTTTATAGGCATTTATATATATGTGTGTGTGTGTGTGTGTGTGTGTGGTAGAATACATAAAATTGGTAAAAAGAGGAGGTGTGCAGATGGAGGAGGGTATCTGAATACATTAAAAATTAGTTTTTCATATTTATTTGTTACGTTAAATGTTTCAATTATTCTCCAGAAAAAAATCACACTTATTTTCTTTTTCAAAGAAATATTTTATTTAGTATTTTTATTTTATGTGTATGAGTGTATTGCCTGCATGTAGGTAAGTGCACTTGTGTTGTGCAGTGCCCTCGGAGGTCAGAAGAGGCTGTCGGATCCCCTGGGATTGGAGTTACAGACAGTTGTTAGCTGCCGTGTGGGATTCAAACCCAGGTCTTCTGCAAGAACAACCAGTGTCCTTAACCACTGAGCCATCTCTCCAGCCCCATAAATTGAAAATTTTTTAAATGATTGTGAGACTAGTAAGTAGCAAGCTGTGTAGCTATGTTTCCCTCACAGAATTAAAGTTTTTTTCTTTTTTTTTAAGACAAGGTCTCACTGTGTAATTGCCCCAGTTGGCCTGGAACTCTATGCAGACCATCCCAGGCTGGCCACAGTCTCACAGAGATCCGCTTGCCTTTGTTTCCCAAGTGCCCCACCATGCCTGGCCAGCTTTTAAGTTTTGAAAATACTTATTTTTTGGCGGGGGGAGTCTTTTTTGAGACAGGGTCTCTCTGTAGCTCCAGCTGGCCTGGAACTCACAATGTAGACCAGGCTGGCCTGGAACTCACAGAGATCTGCCTGCCTCTACCTCCCAAGTGCTGGGATTAAAGGTGAGTGTCACCATGCCTGGCTGTTGAAAATACTTTTAAAATTAGGTTTGTTTTTTTTCTAAATTTTTTATTGAAATTTTCTTTCTTTCTTTCTTTCTTTTATTTTTTATTTATTTATTTATTTTATGTGTATGCATGTATTGCCTGCATGTAGGTAAGTGCACCTGTGTTGTGCAGTGCCCATGGAGGACAGAAGAGGCTGTCGGATCCCCTGGAACTGGAGTTACGGACAGTTGTTAGCTGCCATGTGGGTGCTGGGATTCAAACGTGGGTCTTCTGCAAGAACAGCCAGTGTTTTTAACTGCTGAGCCACCTATCCAGCCCTTAATTTTTGTGTATTCCATACACAGCATCTTAATCATCTTTTACCTCCTTCCTCATCGACACCCTCCCATAGCCTCCCAACTGGATTACATGCATTCCGTCATTTATGTTGAGGCCTATTGAGTTGAGTTAGTGTCCCCAGATGTCCCTCAGTGCAGGTTCATCTACTGGTGTCTAGTCAGCCTATCTAGAGTCACGCCCTTTAAGAAGATCAGCTCTTTCTCACCCAGCAGTAATCAACTTCCCAGTAGTTCTTCAGCTAAGGTTGGGGCCTGCTGCACATTTCCACAGTTCTGTGCTGGGTTTTTGTCTGCTTGAGTTTGCATGGGTCTTGTGCATGTTGGCACCATTGCTGTAGGTTCATATGAGCAAGATCCCAGGAGTCTGTAGGACTCTTTCTTTATGGTCATACACCTCCTCCTCTGGTTCTTATGATCTTTTGGTCCCCTCTTCTGCAGTGGTACCTGAGCCCTGGGTGGGTGGAGTTTAATATAGGAGTCCTGTCCAAGGACCCACAGTCTGCAGACTTTCGCTCTCTACACTTTGGCCATTTGTGACCTTTTATGTTCCTGGCCCTCTGTTGCATAAGGGAGCTTCATTGATGAGAATTGAGAGATTCATTCATATCTTCTACCCCTTGTTCTATGTTCTGTGAGCCTTAGGTATAGAGGTTGCATTATAGATGTGCCACTTAGGCTTGGGCAATTCACAGACAATGTCTGTGTGTGACCAGTTTTGGAACTCTCTAATAATCTCCGTCTGTTGTAAAAGAAGGTTCTTTGATGAGTGGTGACTGGCATACTTGTCTGTAAATATAAGGATCCATATTTAATACATAGTAAGAAATTACATTTGTCTAGAGATCTGTCAGCCTTGGGTTTTCTCTAAGATCTATGACCTGTCTAGCTATGGTTATTTAGCCAGGTTTACAGTACTACACGAGTTTCTTCCCATTGAGTGGGCTTTAAGTCTAATTAGGTAGCTGTTGATTATCCCCAAGATAAAAGTGTGACTGCTGCACCAGTGTCATTTCCTGTGCCAGACACTGATGTGGTTATTAGGCCTTGAAGCTGGGGTTGGAGCATCGTTTGATGTTCTCCCTTACCAGCTTGCGTAGTGCTCTCCAAAGCTATGAGAGCTAGCCTTCAGGGGAGGTGGCTTCCAGGTCAGTTCCAGCTCCATTCCTCCAAATATGCCCAAAGTATGTCCTGTCTCCGGCAATAGGGTCTAGGCTAGTGCTCTGTTTCAGAGTTCTACCTTTGGACACTGAACTTTGAACTATGCCAGTATCATGGCATAGGTAATAAATGACTAGACAGAAGAACTGCATTTGGGAACTGAATCTGCTCTTTGCTAGTTACATTGCCTTAGACCTAAATTTCTGAGCCTCAGTGTCTAAATCTGCAAAGTGGAATAATTCTGCTCTGTGTTTCATTTTATGATTATAATGCATGAGCTCTATGGCTTATAGTGTAACCTACACGTTACTTGCTAGTGCCTTAGTTTTTAACTTTGGTGGCATTCATGTTCTTTTTCTTTTTCTTTTTTTTTTTTTTTTTTTGGTCTTTTTGAGACAGGGTCTCTCTGCAGCTCCAGCTGGCCTGGAACTCACTATGTAGACCAGGCTGGCCTGGAGCTCACAGAGATCCAGCTGTCTCTGCCTCCCGAGTGCTGGAATTAAAGGTGTGTGCTACCACACCTGGCACATGCATGTTCTTAATAATTAGAAAGTATATTGGATTATTCTTTTAGCTCCCAGAGAGAGACTTTTGTTGTTGTTGTTGTTTGGTTTATAATTCTTGATCTAAATTCTTAAATTTAAAATTTTCTGTATAAGTATGTAATGGCATAAGACTAAGAGTTCAGTGTAGCTGGGCGTGGGGCCAAGCCTTTAATTCCAGGCTTGTTGCAGTGTTCTGCTTTTTAGTGTAATAATACTTATGTTTGAGGAAGATAGAATAATGCCCATTGTTTACCAAGGAAATCAGGAATATGGAGATATTTGTAAATTTGATTTTGTCTGTCTTAAACAATTTTGTATTGCTGTAACAATGTGTGAGACTGAGCAATTTATAGAGAAAAAAGAGTGAATTTGGTTTATACTTCTGAAGGCTCTTAAGATCTGACTGCTGCAAGTGGTAGGCTTCTATAAAGGCCTTATGGCAGAAAAGTAGAGGGCCCCTAGACTTACATAAGGAGAGGGGAGGGAAAGGTGGCTGGATGCTTTGTGACAACCTGTACTTTTAATAACTAATTTTAAGAACTAATCTAGCCTTTGAAGAGAGGCATTAGTGCCGCTTCAAGGCCTACCAGCTCTGAACCCTGTTACTTTGGGAACTAAGCCTTAACATGAGTTTCGGTGGGGATACATTATAGCCATGTCCTTGTTTTGATGGATATTTCAACCGCAGATCCCTTTTCCCAGATACTTGTGGTTGGGTCCCTTCTCCCTCTCTCCTCTTTTCCTTCCCTCCTCCTTCCTTCCTTTGGGAATGAGGTCTCACTATAGTGCCTAGGATGATCTTGAACTCCTGAGCTCAAGTGGTCATCCTCCCTTAGCCTCTGAGTGCTCAAGACTGTAGGTGATATATATTTTAAATTAATTCAGTAATAAATTATTAACATGGTAGAATCTTATTGCAGATAAAGATTAGTTCTTACTTTAAATTGAGGTATAATTTGCATAAAGACAGATTAGGTTTTATGTTATCACTTCTGTAAAGTTTTGTAGTAAAATTCCTTAAATATTTACAAAGTATTGAACATACTTAATTTCATACAAGTATAACAGGTAATTATTTTTTCAGTGTTAGATCACTTTGCTGTTTGGTTGAACATCAAATAAGTACATTACGTTACATTTAAATAATAGTCATGTGACTAAGAAATTTTTAAATACTAGAATTTACACAATCAATCTCTTCATTTCAAAAGCATGTGTATCCTACCTAGCTCCTTCTACTTAAAAAGAAGGAAGAGAACTTGAGGTCTAGCTCCAGGAAAGTTGGTAGAATACTTGCCTAGCTTGCGTGAGGCCTTGAGTTCCATTTCCAGCCCTGCAATAAAATTTGGGGCTGGAGAGATGACTCAGAGGTTAAAAGCAATGACTGCTCTAGCAGAGGACCTAGGTTCAGTTTCTAGCACCCACATGGTGGCTAACAGTCTCTGACTCCAGCTCTGGGGATCCAATGCCCTCTTCTGGCCTCCATGGGCATTTTGCAACATGGGTGCACTCAGATACATGTAGGCAAAACACTCATACACATAAAATAAAAATATGTCAATCAAGGGGCTGGAGAGATGGCTCAGCAGTTAAGATCACTGACTGCTCTTGCAGAGGACCCAGGCTCGATTCCCAGCACCCATGTGGCGGCTACAAACCATGCTTAACTCCAGTTCCAGGGGAATCCAAAGCCTCTCTGACCTCTGTGGCATTGTACAACATGGGTTCACTCACATGGATGCAGACAGTATGCTCATACCCAAAATTAAAAAATATATATATAAATCAAAAACAATTAAAAAAAAGAAGTACAATAAAATAATATCAAGAAGGAAGCTTACTGAGCTTGTTTAGATTATTTGTAGTTGTGAGTGTAAATATTTCTTAAGGATTTTTCTTACTATTAGGTTTTCCAGAGGGATGGTTCATGGGGAACTAATTCAAGCTATCTAAGCTTAAAAGAGACTTGGCCACAAGTTCCGTAATACAGCATCATCATCATCATTATCATCATAATCACCATCATCATCATCATCATCATGATTATTATTATTATTATTGGTTTTGAATGGTGAAAACATTCCCAGTGCCTGACATATTCTGTGTATAGTATATAGCATACTTTTCTAAGTATCTAGGTATAGGGAACAGGTAAGAAGTACTCAGACATTTATTTGGCGATAATAAATCAAACAGTGATTTGTATCTGTTTAATTCATATATTGAAAACCCTTTCATGCAATCTGCCTCCACAGTAGAGCTTGCATTCTGGTGGTGGATAAGCTGTACTAGACAGTAGTTCTTACCTTGAGAGGAGCTAGAAATACAATGTTCCATGCTGTTTCTGGCTTCCGTTAGCCAGGTGGCTAGTAATAATACCTTTATCAAGATGGGGGAAGCAAAAATAAATTTGGTAGGAGGGTAGATTCAGTTTTGCACTTGTAAATTTGGAATGCATATGGTATAAAACAGAGAGATCTAGTGTTTGTTTGCATATGTGGCCTGACTCTTATGATATCTCAGCTATACACACAGCATTGGGAATGGTTAGCAAATAGGTAAGTTTGTAGGGGCTTCTTTGGAGGCTAGCAGGCCTTGAACACATTGTATAGCCCATGCTGACTTCAAACTCACAGTAGTCCTGCTTGAATTTATTATTATTATTACTATTTTGAATGTATGAGTGTATTCCCTGCATGTATGTAAGTGTACCCATGTCATGCATTGCCGATGGAGGTCAGAAGAAGGTGTTGGATTCCCCTGGAACTGGAGTTAAGGAAGACTTAGCTGCCCTGTGGGTGCTGGGAATTGAATCCAGGTCCTCTGCAAAGAGCAGAAAGTGGTCTTATCCACTGAGCCATCTCTTCAGTCCCTGCCTCAGTGTCTTGAATACGGGGGATTATAGATCTTCACCATCATGCTTGGCTTAAAGTCTTTGTTTTTTATTGGAAATATCTGAATTCTTGTAAACTGTACAATAAGTGTTTTAAAGCATGTATTATTTTAAGTAATTTAAACTAGGGCTGGAGAGATGGCTCAGTGTTAAGAGCACTTGTTGCTCTTGCAGAGGACCTGGGTTGGGTTCCCAGCTCCCACATGGAGACTCACAACCATCTGTCACTCCAGTTCCAGAGGATCTGATGCCTCTTTCTGCCTCTCTGGACACTGCATGCAGGTGGCGCACATATATGTGTGCTATCTAAATAGTTTTAGGATAATTGTAGATTCAGATGCAGTTGTAAAAAGAGAAATACCGTGTATCCCTCTCCTGGCTTTCCATGATGGCATCTTATATGACTACAGTATAATATTAAACCAATGTACCCACACTGACATGATCAACCACCTTATTCAGATTTCATCACTTTTATGTTCATTCAATTGGTTTTAGTTTTATGTGGTTTTATCGTATATGTTTGATTTATATGACACCATAGTCAAGTTGTGAAACGAATCTGCTTTTTAAAAAGAAAAATTGGACTTTGAATCACAAAGGCATTAACTAGAACTTTTTTCCTTTCAGCGTTTTGGAACAACACAAGTTGACAAAGGAGCAGTGGGAGGAGAGAATACAGACGTGGCACGAGGAGCACAGGGGAATGCTAAGGTGCCCCGGGACTGCTTCCTATGCTCGTCCCTCCAATTTAAAATACTGTTGTTTAAAAATCTTATTGAACGGGTGAGATAGCTTATTAGGTAGAGGTGCCTTCTGCCAAGACTGACAGCTCAGGTTTGCTGTCCAGAACTCACATGGTGGAAGGAAAGAACTGACTAACTCTGGTTGTCCTCTGACCTCCACACGTGTGCTATGGTATGTGTACCCCCTCTGCCACATACACACAGACACATAAAAATGTTAATGTTATTTGGACATTTATGATTACATCAGACGATCCTCCCCAATCATTTGATATCTGTGTATAAAGTATGATATATGAATTCCAGGTATTTTTACAGTTTGACTTTATGTTTAGACACTTCTCCTTCACTCTGTTACATTTAGCTTTATTTCAACAGGGAAGACTCAATGATGGAATACTTGAAGATCGCACAAGATCTAGAAATGTATGGTGTTAACTATTTTGAAATAAAAAATAAGAAGGGTACTGAATTGTGGCTGGGCGTTGATGCTTTGGGTCTGAATATTTATGAACACGATGACAAGTAAGTCATTTAGTCGCACATGTCAGTCCGTGTTCTCGGTGTCTTTACGTTGTGTTCTACTTGTAAAGTTGTCCCTTGTCTTGGTTGCCCTTGTTGCTTTCTTTTCCTCATTGAATTAAAGGGATTAGCTAATTCCACATAGTTTTTAAGGTATCATTTCCATTTTTTTGGTGTCTTGTAGTTTCGGAGTTTACTTCTGATTGTATTTATTAAATGAGAGAATTCACTTTTATTTGAAGTATGTTGCTTTGTCTCTTGTGAATTAAGTTTAGTAACAAGTTATTCCTTAAATGTTATATAAGAAACCAAGAGCCTTGAGAAATAAAACTAAGATGTATGTTTCAACATTTCTATAGGAATTGTTTTGTATACTCTTAAACATCAGTTGAATAGGATGTCCCTATATTATGCATAGTGAATATTGTAATTATATTTTGAATTTTAATTATCATATGTAATTTCATCATAATTGATACTGCTTTCTGTCATAATTTGTACTGTTATATGTGTGAATGCACATGTATATTTACTGTATATAGATAACATAAATATATTTTGCATGAATTATATCGACCCTTATAGTCTTTCTTAAGAATAATAAGTCTTATACATTTGTTTATCAAACCACATAGCAGTCCAGTATATACTAGAAATCCTCCTCCTATGGCATCATTCTTTATTATTGATTGGCTCCAGAATTGTAGTTTATTTTATGTGTCTGATACAATGAGCATTTCAAAACATACATAGTGACTCAAAGACAGTTTCTACAAAACTATTTAAAAAGTTAGAATTCAATGAGACTGAAATTTTTGAATATTTTAGAAAAACAAAAATGACCTCAAGACTAATTTTTATGGTTGAATCACCTTTGTTTTTAAATTTTTTGTGTTAGTTTCCAAGGTTATCTTAAAACATTATTGTGAGAGTGATCTGAAGCACTTGCTTTAGATTTCTTCAACAGAGCACATAACTCTAGTGTAGTGTGCTATATTCCTACAGACTCCTTTCTAAGAAGACCTCAGCGGCCATTAGAGGGCAGTAAAACACAAGAACACAGCTAATTATTTACTTTATCTGCTTAAGTATTAAAAGTAGCATAAGTAGAAATCTGTTTTTAAATGTTTTTGTTCACATACTATAAATTCATAGTCAAGTTGTACTGAAATTCAGTACTTTTAATACATTCATATATCTAAGCATTTTAAAATTAAAGAAGAAATCTTTAATACTCAGTACTTAATATATCTGTATTCCATAGAATTTATAAAGGCTTTACTTTTCTCCCTGTCAAACTGGTATTTGTTGCAGCTAACTAGAAAAAAAAAATGCAGGAGGCTCAGTCTTAGACTCTGTTTACCAAATAGATATTCTAGGTAGTTTTAGGAAAGTGATGATTTAAGGTTCATGACACATTTATGAAATCATTCCATGGTTATTATTTTTATGTGATTAATCAGATTTCCCATTCAAATATGTCAATTGCATAGTGTAAATAAGATAATATATTTTGTGCTAAGTGTGATGGCACATGCCTTTAATCCCAGCACTCTGGGAGAAGGGGAGAGGCAGAGGCAGGTCCATCTCTGTAACATCTAGGCCAGCCTGGTCTCCATAGTGAGTTTCAGGCCAGCTAGGGCTACAGGGAGTCCCTGTTTAATATATATTATGAATATATGTAGGAATGAATATATTAATATATAATATGAATGAATTATGAACATATGAATATGTGATATATTCATATATATATGAAATAGAGATGATCTGGAACCCTTTAGACTGGTCACCCCAGAGGTGCATTTTATCCACTATTTCCTGCCTTTAAATTAAAGCAATATTCTTATTTTTAAGGCTAACACCTAAAATTGGTTTTCCCTGGAGTGAAATCAGAAATATTTCATTTAATGACAAAAAATTTGTTATAAAGCCAATTGACAAAAAAGCACCTGTAAGTACTTTTTTGTTTTTTATGTATTAACTTCAGATTTTTATTTTATGTGTATGAGTGTATTGCTTGTATATATGTAAGTGCACCCATGTCATACAGTGCCCACAGAGGTCAGAAGAAGGTGTTGAATCTCTTGAAACTGGAATTATGAATGATTGTTAGCTGCTATGTGGGTACTGGGAATCAAACCCTGGTCCTCTGCAAGAGCAGCTAGTGCTTTTAAGCACTGAACCATCTTGCCAGCCTCTACTCTAAGCTTTTTTCTACTACTTTCTTATGAAGTCACTTAAAGAATGGTATTGGTCATTACTGAGTTGTTTCTGAGGAACATTCTCTTTATGTAGTGTGTGGTAAAATGATGTTATTAAAAATTCGAAGCCTTCAATATTTTTTACAAGTTATAAGAATTTTAACTGTGATTTCATTATAAGGTAGGCATTTTGTATTAGAAGGGGATCAACAATCATAACTTAAAAAATTTTTTTTAATTATTTTTATTTTATGTGTATGCGTGTATTGCCTGCATGTAGGTAAGTGCACCCGTGTCATGCAGTGCCCATGGAGGACAGAAGAGGCTGTTGGATCCCCTGGAACTGGAGTTAAAGACAGTCGTTAGCTACTATGTGGGTGCTGGGATTCGAACCTGTGTCTTCTGCAAGAACAGTCAGTGTTCTTAACTGCTGAGCCATCTCTCTAGCCCCTCAATCATAATTCTTAAGAAATAATTTAAATAGTATTTATCAGTGGCTTGCATATAGTAGAAGTAACCCCTCCAATTCTGCTTACAGTCTTGTGCTATGAATTTATACTTTTGTAACTTGTATTTTTTTTATTTAAATAGATTTTTTTAAACCCCTGTAGCGTCACACATTCTCTAGTATTCTATTCTTATTATTTAAAAGATCAATATTTGGAGAAAATTTCTAGGTTAAAATACAGCCATGGAGCAGGACCAGTTTTGACAGTAATGGCAAAATAAACCTTTCTCTGTGTGTAAGAATAGTTGTTTGTAGTTACTTTGGAGAATAAAAAAAGAATGACATTTAATGCATCGTAACAAAACTGGTGGGGCATGAAGAGTGGAGAGCCAGTTTTGTGGAGTATGTTTTACTAGGAAACAAGAAATGCAATAATTTCTAAATTATGTGTAATGTGGCATTAGAATTCTACCTCATGTTCAAATTGATTAGTTGTTGTAAATGGCACTCATTTTCTTTCAGGAAAAGTTTAAATTTTAAATGTTTTCTGTTCAGGATTTTGTTTTTTATGCGCCTCGACTGAGAATCAATAAGCGTATTTTGGCCTTGTGTATGGGAAACCACGAACTGTACATGCGGAGAAGGAAACCTGACACTATTGAAGTGCAGCAGATGAAGGCTCAGGCTCGAGAGGAGAAGCATCAGAAGCAGCTGGAAAGGTATGACTTGACACCCTCTCCTTCTTGATTGTTTAGGCTAGGCCGGCTAACAGAGTGCTCAGTTTTATTCGCAGACTTTGTATTAAAATTGAAAAGTTAGTATTTCCTTTATCACCTTGCCTTAAAATTATTATAGTTTTCAAAGTAGAAATCTTTGACAGAAATGTCTGAGAAAGTCACTCTTCATGACGTCACAGATGCTCGTATTTCACTTTTTATTTTTTAATTATGTTTATATTTTATGTGTATGAGTGTTTTGCCTTCATGTAAAGTGCATCCATGCTGTGCAGTATTGGAGTGGAGGCCAGAAGAGGACATCTGACCACCTAGAACTGGAATTGAGGACAGGTGTTAGCTGCTGTGTGGGTGCTGGGAACTGAACCTGGGTGCTCTGCTGGCGCAGCCAGTGCTCTTAACCATGGAGCATCTTTCCAGCCCTCACTGTGGTTTTCAAATTTGAAATTTTCAAATTTGTTTTGCTTTTGCTTGCAGGTTATTTCTTAATTTTTCAGTGTAAAAATGTGCTGAATATTTAATTTTGAAGCAGTATCCGTACCATCGTAGAACTCAGTTGAAATGTTCCTGAGTAGAGCAAGCTGACTAGTCATCTCTGCCAAAGATACCGATCTTTTTGTTTGTAATTGAGACTTGAAAGAGAGACCATTAAACATATTAAAAGTAAACTTTTTTAATGGATTGAAGTTGAATAAGATCTGTATAGACCCCGGAACCATGTTATTGGACCCAAGAACGTAATTCCCAGTTCCCAAGTTTGAATCTAGATTAGTTTGGATTTTCTGCTTTATGTGAAAAGATTTAAGGGCCCAAGTAAAATTATCCTTTATTGAGAAAATCTTTAAAGAAAGTGATACTGTAAAAAATATAGTAGTCTTAGAACAAAACAAAGCAAAAAACCCTAGAAACTATTGAGCTTTGTTTCTAATGATCTTTTTACCTTGTAGCTTTCACTGACTCTAAGTGCTTCTATCATGACATAAAAAAGTTACTTTATGTGGATTTGCAGATATCATTCCATTCCGTATATCTGTTCTGCCCACAGTTGGCATATTATGTACTTTTTGCAATGATCTATGTGCTTTTTATGCATCTAGACACAGAGAAAACTGGTATATGTGTTATGTAGTAGTGTGTTTAATTAGTACTATTTGATGAGAGTGCTATATTCAGTTACTGTGGGGACTAGAAGGAAGTTTTTTTTTTTTTATTTGGTAATCCATGGTTCCTTTTGGATACATTTTACAACCTTTCTTTAGCATGCATTGAACACTCTAAACAGGAGGTATTCAGTAACTGTTTATTATTCTAGCCACACAGAGATTGGCAGTCTTTCAGAAATAGTACACCAAATTTTCATGTGTTCCTTCCATATTCATTGTTCTGAGAGAGAGGGAGAGGGAGAGGAAGAGAGAGAACAAAGGAAGGAGGAAGGGAGGGAGGGAGAGAGAAAGAACTATGTGGAAAGTTTTGGTCAGGCTCACTGGCAACTGAAAACAAAGCCAGCAGACATGGTTGGGGTAGTGCTTGGAGGCATGCCATCTATGCTGCTAGACGCTCTTGGACAAGAACAATACCTGGAGAAGACAGCAAGGAGGCCTCCTTACTTGAATACCTTGGTGTATGTGGTTGCATTTTCTCCCCAGAGCTTTCATAGCTGTATGTTTTTGACAGAGAAATAGATGGTAGTTCTCTAGTCTTTTCTCCTAAGTGCCTTACATCCAAATCAAGTGATACTCATTCTCTAATTCTTGAACATATTTGTATGGCTAAAGTTATTGACAAGTTTGGAAACGGGCTTACGCTTACAATTTGGAGTCAGAATCCTATGTGCCAATTGTAAGTCAGCTACAACTGCAGGTTTCCTGTATCACTAGACCATAGCTGGTGTCTTACCAAGACAATAGACTTTGCAACTAGAGGGTTTAAATCCTCTTCTAGTTGAATACTATCTTATTTAACACTAGTTGAATGATTTTCTTATTTTTTTAAAAAATTTTAAGTGTATTGAGTGTCTTGTGTGCATGTATGTTAAGTGCACCTGTATCATGCAATGTTTAAGGAGGTCAGAAGAGGGCATCGATCCCCTGGAACTGGAGTTAAGGACAGTTGTTAGCTGCCACTTAAGACTTAAGAAAAATGTAATTGGACCTATTTGATAGTCCTTAAAAATAAGAATTTCTCATATAATTTTTGCATGCTAGTACAGAGACTTTATAGCTTATTAGTATATTTATGTCTTGACCTAGAACTAGGTTGAAATGAGTAGAATCTGAAACTATGAATTAAAATATCTACATTTATAGTTTGAGTAATAGCAAGAAGCTTCCTGGAGAAAGTTGGACTTGACTGAGGCTTGAAAATTGAAGAAGCCAGCATAAGCAGATGTGCAGAGATAAGAATATACACGCTTGCATACGTACCAGTGAGTGGACTAGGTTAGTCCTTTTTGAACAGTGCTTCGGGGAGAAGCAATATCTTCTAGGATTTTTTTAATGTTACATTAAAAAAAAACATTTTTATTTTTTATGTGTATGTATGTAAGTAAACCCATATCATGCAATGTCTGCAGTGGTCAGAAGAGGGCATCAGATCCCCTGGAACTGGAGTTACAGGCAGTTGTTAGCTGCTGTGGGTGCTGAGAATCAAACTTAGGTCTTCTACAAGAACAGTCAGTACTCTTAACTGCTGAGCCCCAATATCTTCTAGTTTTATATGGGAGATAAGGAAGGTCTACCAGCCCTGTGTGTCAGCAAGAGATGTGAGGAGCTGAATGGAGTTGTATTCATGTAGTGTGGTCTGTGGACATAAGGTATCAGAAATGAATCTCAAAAGAAAGCTGCAGACAGAATCAACTGCGAAGTTTTTCCACATATTATTATTAGGCTAAATGTTTCCTGTATATTTACTCCACTCTTCATTAGTAACATAATTTTTGCTCCCAACTTGCTTGTGATCAGGTTCCTTTGTCTTTTTCCTGCCTGCATATGACCTGTACTTCTGTCCCTGTGGAAGAACAAATGAAACAGCAATAGGGAGAGCTAAGTAAAGCAACCCATCCCAGAAGGGGCCAGTTGTGCCAGAGTTGGACTTGAAAGGCTCTGAGTGGGTGGGTTGCATTGTAGCCTGTGGGTCTTGAGATTTGGTTTACATGGTGAATTCTCAAGAAGTATCTCTAGGGGGCTGGAAAGACGGCTCAGCAGTTGAGCCCTGGCTGTTCTTTAGAGTTCGGTTCCTAACACCCACATGGTGGCTAATAACCTCCTTAACTCCAGTTCCAAGGGATCGAATGACTTCTCCTGGCCTCTACCATTGTCACTGCATGATATGAGGGTACTTACAAAGTATTTCAGGATGGGTTGGGGGAAGAAGGAAAGTAACTGCCTTGGGGACCAAGAGCTGTGCTGGGCCTGACTGTCTGAAGGAGTGATTGATTGGGGTGGCAGACCATGGAGAAAATGGTTCTTTGAAAACTGGTACTTTGATGAATAGCCTGAAAGACAATAGTGTTTTGAGGGGAGGGACACTAGTCTTTTGCCCAAAGAACCTGGGAAATGCATTCTTTCCCTAAAGCCTCTATCATTTAGGTTTTCTAGAGGGATTATACCTCCCAAGTCCTTAAATCTGTGCCTGAATATACTCTTTATTGAAATACTGAAATACTGTACAAACCCAGTTCCGGGGTCTATAAGTAGGTATTGACTCTTTCTCCTAGGTGTTGAGAAAGTACATCATAGAGATTCCTAGAAGCAAAGTGAAGCATTCCTTACAGGAACAAGCCCCTAGGCCTTTGGCTCTTAAATGAGATGGAGTTCATTAAATCAGTAGGAGGTGTAGTGATCCTTAAATATCTTGTGTTGGGCTTTTCCCAACATTCCTCCTTTACTTCATTTACTTACGGGCCCAGAAAGGGGAGCTCAGCTACCTTCCAGAGCTTGAGACCCAGTGTGTCTGCGGTAGCCTCCTCAGCATGGCTGAGCCGATCCAAAAGAAGCTGCGAGGAGAAATGGAGAAATGCCAACAGCTGCAGAAGGACTTGAGTAAATCCATGTCAGGGAGGCAGAAGCGTGAGGCGCAACTAACAGAAAATGTTGTGAAGGCACTAGATAGGTCCAACATGGTCTTCAAACTGCGTTCCGTGCTGAAACAGGAGCTGGGAAGTCTCATGACACAGTGTGAAAGAGGCTGGACTGTATCCGAGATGAAATGAAGCCATCTGAATCCCAGCTTCAGGACCTTGAGAGGCGGGCAGAGCAACTGAGGAAAAACCCCTGTTCATCTGTTTCAGTATGTCCAGTGGGCCCAGGCAGCAAACGCAGAGGGACTCCTAGGAGAGCCTGACACCAGAGGGCATGGGATGAGGCAGCTCTGGGGTTTAGAGTCACTAATGTAGAACCTCTGTGCCTCAGCCCAACCTGTACATCATAATTATCTCCATTTCCCTTTCCATAGCCCCTTACTCTTTCTACACACACTGCCTACATGTCTAAGGTCCACATTCTTAGAACTGCAGTCTCTCTGTGACTGCAGCATGTTTTAATGTTTTGCTTTTGTATTCTCCATCTCCAGTCCTGAGGATTGACCCAGGGTCTTGCCTGTGTACTTTCTTTAAAAAAATCCATAATTATGACAACTCTCTTCCAGAGTTAACTCTTTCTGGGGAACAAATAGCTAAGATCTGCAACAATTTTCAAATTAGACTTCCAGAGAAAGAAAAAATACTTTGATAGTACAGTTTTGCTGCTGAGCCTGTAATTGAGAATTGACACTAGGTGGCAGTGATATCTTTTTGTGGAACATAAAGAAGTGTTTAAAAAAATTGATTCCATCTCTAATGAAAAAATGTACATTGTCATTGAAGTAGTGATTTGAATATTGACCATATTAAGTATCTTTTATTCCTCTTGTTTTTAGCCACAAATAAATTCAGTGGAATTTGACCAAAGATAGACCCTTCATTGATAATTTAATGACTGATTTGGGGTATATTCACAAATTTTTTTTTTTTAAAAAAGGCTTTATCAGGCCCCTGGCAGTTGCAGCTAAATGACCAAGGGAGTGTTTCCTTTTAAGCCAGCATTAAACACCTGCTTCATCCTAATAATTGTGAAAGATGATAAAACTGATTTTTCATCTATGCATAAATGGCTTTTGCACCAGAAATTAGCTTATATTTTTATTTTTAATAAAGACTGAAAATTGTTGATCTCTTTGGCCATTTTCCTGTTTAAGGTACTTTTGTGTTCTCTTTAAATCTTTGTTATTTCCCCAGTGAAGGGCTTCTGCAAGTCTGAAAAATAAATTTGCTTGGGTTCTGGAAATGGTGCAGTTAGCTCTTAAGATGTGACAGATAGGGGCTGGAGGGATGGCTCAGTGGTTAAGAGCACTGGCTGCTCTTGCAGAGGACCTGGGTTTGGTTTCCAGAACCCACATGGTGGCTAACAACACTCGTAACTACAGTTCCAGGGGGATCTGTCGCCCTCTTCTGGCCTCCAAGGGCATTGCATGTACTGGTGCACTTACGTAAATAGGCGTAAATTAAAAAAAAAAATTAAAGATGTGACATATGATCTATTGTCCTTCATGCAAAACAGTAAGTCTAATTTTTCTCCATTTTTGAATGGCCTTGAAAAACCTGCTTTATTCACAAAATAGGCTTTATTTTCTTGGCAGTTTTATAAATTTTAGGTTTTTAAGAGTGTGTGTGTGTGTGTGTGTGTGTGTGTGTGTGTGTGTGTGTGTGTAGGCCAGAGGTCAGCATAAGTAGAAATTAGCTGAGGAAGACACCTGGAAGACAGGATCTCAGAGAGTTCCAGGGACCTGCCCGTTTCTGCCTCCCCAGTACAAGGATTGTGGCGCAGACTACTATGCCTGGCTTTTTACTTGGGTACTGGGTATCCGTATTCAGGTCCTTATGCTTGTGTGACAAGCAGTTTACTAACTAATCCAGCCTCAAGTTTTTGATATTTTTAAAATAGACTGTATTATAACTCCACAATAAGAAATACTTCGGAACCCAGTATGTGTATATCTATACATGAGTGTATACTACAGCATAGTTCTATATATTTAACTGTACGTGAATGTATTGAAAATTTTCAAATGTTTATGTCGTTTCTTTTTTGATTCAGAGTTAGTAATAATGTCCCTACCTAATAATTTGTGACATAGAAATTGTAATCTCTTTTAAGGGCACAATTAGAGAATGAAAAGAAGAAAAGAGAAATTGCAGAAAAAGAGAAGGAGAGAATAGAGCGTGAAAAGGAAGAGCTGATGGAGCGCCTCAGGCAGATCGAAGAGCAGACACTGAAGGCCCAGAAAGGTAAAAGGGTGTTTTTGATGACGAATTAAGAATTACTGCTGTAGTGTCAAATAGCAGCATTTCTATACAGTTATTAAGTGTTATTTGTGTTATATCGGACACTTGTGTTTAATTACCAAATTAAAAGTTAGTGGCATCACATCAAAGTACACTGAAGGCACATTCTGTTCTGTTCTGCTCTTGTTCCCTGTCATATCTTTGATCATACGGATGGTTTTCATGTGTATTTCTCATCTATTCTTACTATGTGTATATTAATTCATACTTATTACTGTTCAGGGTTCCATAAATAAAAGCATATATTTGCTACCTTATGGCATTTAAGCAAATGTATTAATAGAGTGCTTTATGGATATTTTAAGTACTTAAATCATTTTTAATTGTTCTCACAATTATAAACTGTTTGGAACTCAACCCCTAAGAAAGATTTGATTTCAGTGTATTACAAAACTCTAGCGATGGGAGGTCTATCTAGCAGCAGGTGTCCTCTTCCCCTGCTCTTTCCATCTTTTCTGCTCCTTAGTGTAGAGGGTTGTGTTGTGTTTGTGTCAGTTAGGATGGGTACCACATAATCACGTATTGTCTATTTTGGAAGTTGTAGGACTCTGTAATAGTCTCCATCTGTTGCAAAAAGAAGCCTCCTGCTCGATAATACAATGTAGACATGATAGGGAAGCTGCACCCATGAAATACCACGGTGTGGTCGCCCAGCAGTGTGAGGGGGAGTTCACAGGGTCTCACATCTAGATGAGGAGCTCCAGGTACTCAGTGGATGCTGATTAGGGGACAATCAGTTTTCTCCAGGATTGAGCTCCCTGATAAGTTATCTACTCCCAAGTGGTCAGCTCAAAACATAAGTACACATGAGCTAAATGGACTCAGTGCATTATACACACACACACACACACACACACACACATATGTGTAAAATTATGTATATATGCATGCTTGCATATGTAACAATAATCAAAGACAACATGAAGTTGAGAAAGTTAGGGGGACATAGGAGTTGGATGGGGTGTGAAGGGTGGAAATGATGCAAATATTCATGTTTGACATTCACAAAAATTTTAAAAACACGAGAGGCGTAGTCCAAGAGTAGAGCACGTGCCCAGCATGTATAAGGCTCTGTACTCCAGCACTGAAAATACTCACACATAGACAGGTTATGCCTTTTTGGTTTTAGATTTAAAAAAATCTTTTATGTGTATGTGTGTGAGCCTATGTGAGTTTATGTGTAGCACATGCCAGGGGAGGTAGTCACACGAATGACTATCAATCTACAGTCATTCTAATACGAAGAGTATTGGTAATATTTTTAAGATAATAAAAACTTGGGAATGTACAGTGTCTCCCAATAGCCCAGGCTGTCCTCAAATTTTTGATACTCCTGGCTCCTTCCTCACCAGTGCTAGGATTTCTGGCATGTGCCACCACTCCAAAACAATGGATCTCAGGGCTGGGGATAAATAGTTCAGTCAGTAAAGTACTTGCTAGACAAGCATGTAGCCCTGAGTTTGATCCCCAGCACCCACGTAAGAGGTTAGGCAAGGTGGCACAAGCTTGTAATCTCAGTGCTAGGAGGCTGAAGCAGGCAGGTAAACTGGGCCTCATTGGTCAGCCAGCCTCACCAAATCAGTGAGCCCAGGTCCCCACGCCTCTGCGGAACAGCATCTAAGGTTGACCTCTGGCTTCCACAAAGTGCACTACACCACATGTACTATATGAGTTATTCTAGTTCAGCAGCAAAACCTTGCTTTTCAGAGCTATAACGACCTAGAAATTAGATTAATTCAAAAGCCAAAGGTAGTATAATATTTGTTTACAAGCACAAACTGGGGACAGAACTTGTTCTTGGTTTTCAAACTTGATGCTTATTCCTTCTCAGGTACCCTTTTCTTCAATCAAATCAGATTATTTATGAAATGCCTACTTTGTGCTGTATCCTAGGAGTGCAGACACATAGCATACATGGGAGGAAAATCTGCATAGATGATCTGTGCGTAAAGCACTGATCAAGTGGCACAATGTGTATTAAGTGCCACAGGACTAATATAAGAAGCACCTTTCCAGAATGCTGAAAAGAAACCTGGATGTAGGGACTTGAGGTGTAGATCATTGATGGGAAGTTTGGTTAGCATGTGAGAGGCCCTCAAGTTTCTCAGTGCCACAGTTCCAAAACCACCTATGTTGTATTAAACACTGATTAAAAAGTGAAAGTTTGATTTTTAAAGGGAATATTGAGTCATAGAACCTTTAAATTTATATAACTCTCTTTGACGGAATCACTACTTACTAAATCTTTTAATCTCATTTATTTAGGATGTATAATAAAAATATTAATGATTTTCATACATAAAACTACTCAGAGAAGCCCTGAAGAGTATGAGAGCTAGAACATAAGGCATGGAGCGTCTTTGTCAAGACAGCTTCAGATCTGTCATCTTCAAACAGGATATCAGTTTGTTTTTGTTTCTCTAATAAAGCTTTCCCAGGCTGTTCTAAAACCTACGTGATTGTCTTATTTTGTGCTAAATTTTCATTCAGATGTACTGACTTCCACCATGTTTAGTTTAACTTGTAATTTTCTTGAACATTTTTTTTATGTTTCATTGTAAATTCTTGAAATTAATTATTTAAGTCATTTATTTCAAATGAATCATTAATTGTTCTGCAATGCATCTTGAAAGATGTATTGGTGATATTTGAAAAATGCTGTCAGCAGACAATTCAGTTACTGCTCCAACAAATACCAAAGTGAATTCTTGTCCTCAGTAAAACAAGCTATAGGGCAAAGCTGTGGTGCAATGATGTCTTCGGTACTGGGTAACTAAGCATTGGGCACCGCTGTGCTCAGAGGCTCCAGCTCTTACACAGCTCAGCTCACATTCTATTGGTGGAAGATGGTGTGATGACCTAAACAAGATTGTTTTACATAGTAGGAACTGCTGTGGAAGACAGTCAACATGGCAATTTGATGAAGGGGATGTTCACTTTAGATACATACTACTCAAAAACAGGAGCGAAGCTTTAATCCTGTGCTTCTGTTAGAATATGGCCATCAGTGAGGCATTTGAGGACCCTAATTTTCTTAGGTTCCTAAATTCTAAGATGAAAATAATCTTTAACCTCACTTAGCTTTCTGAAATTAAAAAAAAAAAATTGATCCTATTTTATAAAACCCTAATATTGTTTCATTGAAGTGCTGATAGAGAGTCTATGTACCTATTAGGGAAGGGGCTTATGGAATTGTTTTAGGGAGGTTTGTTCCTACAAACTTGTACACTGTAGCCTTCCCAGGACAAGAAGAAGAGCATTACTGGCTTTCTTTACTGCCTCCCATTCATTTTTCATCCCAAATACAATTTTTGTCATTTTGAAAATTTGGCTTCTCTTTTCTCCTAACAGCTTTGTCGCAATATAGTTCTTATGCCATGCAATTATCTGTTTCAGTTACACAATTTAATGGTTTTTAGTATGTTCACAATTTTGTGCAACTATCACCAGTCAATTTTAGAATGCTGTTGTCTAAGAAATTGCGTACCCATAAGCAGTCAACTAATTTTTTCTAATATCCCAGCCTCTGGGCAACTGTTGATCCAGTCACTTTCTCTAGATTGTCCTGTTCTGGACGCAGGACTGGCTTTTACCCTAATATTTTCAAAGTTTTTCTGTATTATAGCATTTCACTCTTTTTGTTTTTCTTTTTTGTCTTTTTGAGACAGTTTCCCTGTAGCCTCAGCTGGCTTGGAACTCACTGTATAGACCAGGCTGGCCTCAAACTCACAGAGATTCACCTGCCTCTATTTCCCAAGTGCAGGGATTTAAGGCGTGCGCCATCACACCAAGCCCTTTTTTTTTTTTTAAATTTCTATCAGTTTATGGATATTATGGTGGTTTCTACTATTCCACCAAATATTGTGTATAATGTTATGAACCATACTTCGTACAGATTTTTGCTTATACGTTTTCATTTTGTTGATATGTTTTGAGTATATGACCTAAGGAGAATTGTTGGACCATATTAACTTTCACTTTTGGTTTTGTTGGTTTTTTTTTTTTTTTTTTTTGAGGCAGGATCTCCTTATAGCCCCAGCTGGCCTGGAACTCATTATTTAGACCAGGCTGACCTCATCCAGCAGAAATCTACCTGCCTCTGCCTCCTGAGTGCTGGGATTAAAGGCATGTACCACCACACCTGACTTGACTTACACTTTCTGAAGTGGCTTCATTTTTGCATTCCTGTAGCAAAGTGTGAGTTCTCTGCACTCTCACCAGTGTGTGCATACTTGTCTTTTGGGTTATAGTCTTCCTAAATGATTTGCAATGATACTTTATGGTTTTAACTTATATTCCTCTGATGCCTAATGATGTTGAAGATCTTTCCATGTGCCTATTGGTGTTTCTGTATTTTCTTTGGAGTTGCCTTTTTGTTGTCATTATAAGGTTCTTACAGGTCTTGGACACAAATTCTTTGTCAAATATATGATTTGTGAATATGTTTTCCTGTTCCAGAGTATTATCTCTCAACTTTGTCATTGGTAGCCCTGATGTTGCCTAGGGCTTGTTGGTCTTAGAGGGCCTCAATGCCATCCTTTGACTCCTGGTTACAGGAGTAGATTTCTTTTGTTTGCCTCTTTCGCCTCTTACTGCTGCGGCTTGTGCTTGTCTCCTGGTGTCTCCCTCCACATGTCCGCTTGGGGAGTTGGCAAACCTACTGTAGAAAAATAGCACACGGGGTTTTAGTCAAGTTTTTCCATGTTTTCCCCTTTCCAGTTCTTGTCCTCTCAATCCCTGAGTACTGTTATGATCCTGAGCTCCCTATCTGTCTTTGTGTCCCAGTGGATAGTGGTCTCAGACTGCTTCATTGTTTTTACCATTATTTTGATCTTTAGGGAGAGCAAATGCCTCTTTTGTTTCCAAAGTAGATACACAATTCACGTAAAGATATATTCTTGTTTCTTACACATAAGGCAGCACAATACATATGTCCTGGGTTTTTTTGTTTGCTTTGTTTTCGTTTGAGAGGAAGTCTTGCTGTATTACCCAGGCTGGCCTTGAATTCCTAGGGTCAGCTAATCATCCTGTCTTAGCCTCCCAGAGTAGCTGGGATTACAGTGCCTCCACTGTACCTAGCTAAATGTCCTCTTGCATCTTACTATTTTCTGTTACTATATCTTAAAAATAGCTTCGTATACATCCGTTGGAAATCCTCCTTTTATTGTGGTGACATATACTACTTCATCACTTAGGTGTGCTGTGGATATTCAATAATTTACAATCAGAGTGTTAATCTTTGATTTGTAAAAACTGATTATGGAACTGTTATTTATTTTTCTTTGAAGATTATACACTTCTCCTAGGTTAACAATAATGTAATTAATAGGCCATTGCCTTAGAAGAGATAAGGAAAAGGCTTCATGTTGGGGTGTATTGTCTATTAAGGCATGTGTACTTTTTAAAAATGTTGGTACAGTGTTATAGCTTGCAAGCTTGGTCCTTGGGGTAAGAAATCATTTGGCTTGCAAAGTCATGTCATGCCTGGGTTCAGATATGATAGAGAATGAGAATCCTTCCCAAATATCATTAGCTTGAATTTACATTAATCTTCCGTATCTCCTCCCTATTAATTACTCTAACCAATCACATCATTCAGTCTTTAGTAGTGACATAAACAGTTTGTGTTTGTAACTTACAACCTATGTCTTGAAAGAGCTGATATTTTAAATAATCCAGATAGGGGCTGGAGAGATGGCTAGGGGTTAAGAGCACTGACTGCTCTTGCAGAAGACCCTGGCTCAGTTCCTAGCACACACATGGCGGCTAACCCTCCATACTCCAGTTCTCGAGGATCTGATGCCCTCTTCTGGCCTCTATGGGCATTGCATGCATGTGGTGCACTTGCATGCTAAATAAATCAAAAAATTTTTAAATAAGTCAGATAATGTCCTCTTTGCCTACATGCCAGACCCTCAAGATTGTAAAGTTGTAGCTTTTTATGAATCAAGATGAAAAAGTTGATATTATTCATCTTTCTGAGTTATCAAATCCTTGTTTTCAGGGGTGTAGACTGATCCATGGTCTAGTCTAGTTTAGTAAATGTTTTAGATACTTGACCCATCTGTGTCTCAATTACTGACTTGGTCATTGCTTTATGAAAGCAGTCTTCTGTAATGGCTGAGTGAGCAAGGGTGGCCATGGCTCAGGAAACTGGTGTCTACTGAAAATGCCATTGGGTTAACTCCACTGGCCAAAAGTTTTTTAATCCCTATTCTAATGCACTGATCAAAAACAGCAAACAGAAGTTTTCTATTTAAGTGTTATAAGACTACCCAAAACCTTCCTTTGTACATGAGATGAGGCTAAAGTTCTTTTTTGTTTTTTCAACATTTTAAAATATTTTTGTATGATTCTTGATATATCACAAAATAGCCATTTCCATTTCTACCTTTTTTTTTCCAAATTGAAACTTGTTACTGAAAGCTGATAGAAAATAATGAACATTAGGGAATATTCATATCAAAATTTAATTTTGTAATCTAAACATTTTTTTGCTTGTTTCAATACAATAAGAATTTTCATTGCCATAAAACCTATACATTTTTTAACAATGGCAAACATAAAAATGTACCATTCTACTTATTTTACAGTGTAAAATCTAATGATATTAAATACATTCAACAAGGTTGAATAGTCACCACTATCTCTAAATCTCTTTTCAACCTATGAAACTAAAACTCTCTGGCTATTAATAATTCCCCATTTCTCCTTCCTTCCCTATAATCCCTGGCACTTAACTACCTACTGTCTTCATAATTCTGGCTTTTCAAGGTAATCTATGGAATCATTTACTGTTTGTCTTAGGGAGGACTGGCTTATTTCTCTTAGCATAATGTTTTCAAGACTCTTCTATGTTGGAGCAATGTCAGAATGCCCTTTCAAGGCAAACGTGTTGATGAACATCTTCATTGCTTCTACATTTTAGCTCTTGTGAAAATGGTGCTAGGAATATGTATACATGTGTTCCTTTGAGACTCCACTGTCAGTTCTTTTTTTAAAAATTTTATGTGTATGAGCCAGGCGTGGTGGTGCATGCCTTTAGTCCCAACACTCGGGAGGCAGAGGCAGGTGGATCTCTGTGAGTTCAAGGCCATCCTGGTCTACATAGTTCCAGGACAGCTGGGGCTACAAGGAGACCCTGCTTCGAAAAAAAAAAAATTATGTGTATGAGTGTTTTGCCTGGGTATGTGTAATTGCAGGACATGTGCAATGCCTGCAGAGGCCAGAGGAGTCCCTCAGATTTGCTGGAACTGGAGTTACCAATGGTTATTGGCTACCATGTGGGTGCTGAGAACCAAACCCAGGTCCTCTGCAAGAGTGCTTTCACTGCTGAGCTGTCGCCAGCCCCCTTGCTTTCAATTCTTTACTCATTTGTTTAGGTTAATGATAAAGCCAGGAGCTTTAAGCTTCATCAGTCGACCAGACAGAGTAAGCAAAGTCTGATGGGTTAGGTTGGCCAAATTTTAAAATGTAAATTCTAAAATGAATCATCTTAGAATTAAGCTATTGCTAACTAACATCCTGTGATATATACTTTCTAATCTTTTTAGCCAAATAGCTACATAGAATTGTACATTATTTTATCAGAAACTTAGAGCCTAACCATAGAATCATTTCTCTTCTCCAATCCTTTCAAAATCTCCCGACTCACCTGACTAAAATTACTTAAGCAGTTTTTAATGAAGACCAGCAAAATTAGGAGCCATAAGTAAAGTCTTAGACATTATGCTTAGCTTTAAAACTCTGTGGCATATAGATTTTCAGTTTTCCTCTTTTCTAAAGTATACAGCAAGGGAGAATCATTCCTCCCAGGGCATTGTACATTCTTAGTAAGTAGCATTCTGGTCTATCACAGAACCTATGCATTAAATAAGAATTGCCAAAATAATGTTCAATATTTTAAAGTCTTTTTTATGGTTTTATGTTAGTAATATTTTCCTTATTCAACTCACTGAGATAAGAAAATAATTTTATGCTTATGTGTACAGATTAAAATTCTTATTAGCCACATCCAAATATTACTTGTAGTCATGTTTTAGAAGATATATCAAAACTCAATTTTGATATAATTTTTATATCAAAAATTTATATAAATTTATATAATTATAATTTTCTCTTTTTTTGTCTTTTTGAGACAGTGTCTCCCTGTAGTCCCAGCTGACCTGAACTCACTATATAGAACAGGCTGGCCTTGAACTCACAGAGATCTGCCTGCCTCTGCTTCCTGAGTGCTGGGACTAAAGGCGTGCACTACCATGCCTGGCTCAAAACTCGATTTTCAATAACACAATTCATGTAAAAACATTTGTGTCACTAATGTTTTGTTTTTTTCATTCAAACTTAATTTCTAGGATTCACTTATCTTATACAGGTTACTAGTGACTTATCCTAGATGTGACAGGTCTCAGTCACAGCATAAGCACACTAAAAATATTGTGTAAGATTACCTTGAGGCGATGCATAGAAGGTACATATAAAACAAATGAATTTTCTTGTTAGAACAAATTTCATCCCTAAATTTTTTCACTGTATATAAGTATTGGAAAATGCCCCCATCTGAAATTCAAACCACTTGTGAAACCCACGAGTTTCAGATGAGGGTTACTCTACTGTACTTGAGTGAGACTTACGTTTCTTTCTTTTTTTTTTTTTTTTTTTTTTTTTTTTTTTTTGGTACCAGGGATTGAACCTAGGATAGCTCATATACTAGGCAAGTGTTGTGTCACTGAGCTGTATAGCCCCAGCCCATGGGTCTTCAAATGAATTATAGATTTCTAAACTTCCATTTTTATTTTTTGGTAGTGCTAGGGATTGAATCCTGGGCCTTGCATATCCAGGCAAATGCTCTCCTACTGAGCTGTACCTCCCACCAACTTTTCTAATTCCTGCTAGGTCAAAAATTTACATTGAGAGATTTAAAGAATAGAAGTTGTACGTTTAGTCTTAGGAGGTATGAGGGGTTTCTGTGTCTTTCAGTTTTGAGTCACATACTTTGTAAGTAACATCTTTTCCCAAGTTAAAATAGAAGAATATGTATAAGTACATGTTGATCTTTAGCGACTGCAGAAACTGTATTTTGCCATTTTACCATAATGAGGATAATTGAAATTAGTCTGTGTTTGGGGATTGGGCAAATACATTATTTTGCAGAACTGGAAGAACAGACTCGAAAAGCTCTAGAGCTGGATCAGGAACGAAAACGAGCAAAAGAAGAAGCAGAGCGGCTGGAAAAGGAGCGTCGAGCTGCGGAGGAGGCCAAGTCCGCCATAGCAAAGCAAGCTGCCGACCAGATGAAGAACCAGGAGCAGCTGGTAAAGAGGAGGGAATCTTGAGTAGATGCCTGGGCCAGCCCTGACCTGCCTGTTGGCCTTCTGATGCAGGCCAAGCTGCAAGTAACAAAATGGGAAAATAAACTGAACCTTTTATTTCTGCCTGAAAAAAAAAAAAAATCCTAAAACTAAACAGAATCAAATGGGTTGCCTTCTTTCATTTTCTGGCCCGTTCCCAACTAGATTCTCACTTCCTTCCTGTGGACAGGCTCTGCTGTGGGACGTTTTTGCTAGATGATTTGACACATAAGACAACATAGCCATACTTGCTTGGGTTTTTTTTTTTTTTTAATCATTTAATAGGTCTTATAGTAATGAGAGGCAAGCATGACATTAAGAAGATTCTGAATTTACCTATTAGTTCAGGCATTTGCTATTTGTCCTTGGGTCTTTTGTGTTTTTTGAGACAGGGTCTTGTTACATAACCCTGGCTAGCCTTGAACTCTTGATCCTCCTGCCTCCATTTCCTAAACGCTAAGAGTAGATTCCAGGTTTGTGACATTATGCCTGCTCTTTTGAGTCTTTGAGCCTCTTGGTTTTCTTTTTGAAAAGAATAATACTACTTTGTAGGATTGATGAAGAATCAGATGAGATTGCTGATAAAATCCCTTTCAAATTATAGCGCATTCTGTAATTTTTATTTGGTGATAAAAGTTTTAAAAATAGCTCTTAGTTGTATGTGTTAAGTGCCTACTAGGGAAACAGCACGAACTACTTATTCATAGAATAAAATCTTTACTTTGTCTTATGTTATCTCAAGTATTTGAGCTATTTAACATTGTCAAGAAATGTTTCCCCTTTTTAAAATGGAAGACTTAAGAGAAACACATAAAACAACCCAAGCATGTACCTGAAAACTTTTTTACTTTAAAATATAAGAATATTAAAAACAGGGACTGGAGAGTTGGCTCAGCAGTTAAGAGCACTGGCTGCTCTTGCAGAGGACTTGGGTTCAATTCCCAGCTCCCGCATGGTGTCTAAAAACCGTCTGTAATTCCAGTTCCAGGGGATCCAATGCCCTCTTTTGACCTCTGTGGGCGTTAAACGACATGGTTGCACCTACTTACATGTAGGCAAATAAACTTATAAAATAAAAATAAAATATTTTTAAAAAATATTAAAAACATTACTGTTTTTAAGCTTGGCATGGTGGCATATGCCTTTTATCCCAGCACTCGAGAAGCAGAGGCAGGTGGATCTCTATGAGTTCAAGGCCAGCCTGGTCTATATAGTGAATTCAGGTCAACTGTGGCCACAGGGAGACCCTGTCTCAAAAAGACAAACACACACACAGACACAAATAAAGCATTACTGTTTTTATAGTACTGAATATTTTAAATTTTAGGCAGCAGAACTTGCTGAATTTACTGCCAAGATTGCACTTCTAGAAGAAGCCAAGAAGAAAAAGGAGGAGGAGGCTACTGAATGGCAGCACAAAGTAATCATGTTTGTTCATTTCTAGCTTTGATTGAATAGCTGTTCTGTACCCAGTAGTTACCCCAGCAGTATGCTTGCTGACTGTACCAAGGTGAATATAATAAGATAAATGCATGTTCAGCCCTTTGGGAATGCAGAAGAGGTGATCAGTTCCTATGGTAACTAGTGTTTAGGAAACCCATTGCATTTAAGTTGGACCTTGAGTAATACATTAGTTTGGGGGCTAGAAGAAACCAAAAATGATTAAGGACCGAAGAGTTGGTCCTTCTAGATAGGAAGGAATTGAATGAGTATAGGAGGTATGAATGTGCAGGAGAGATTGCAGGACAGTCAATTTTAGGAGATGGAGGTAACAAGCCTTGCTGATAAGAGAGAACTGAGTTACAGGAGACTAAATAGATGCCCTGCTTAAGTTAAGTCATGGGAAGTGTCTAGAGACATCAGACCCTGGAGATTTCAAAACAATGAGCATGATCAAGTATGATTTTATATAAATAGCTTAGCAATCAGTGTCAAGTATGGATTGGGGCATTCACTGCTTAAGAGATAAACAGGAAAAGATGTGGTTACGAACATAAGGAATGGAAAGTCAAGAAATATTACTGAAACAGACATGGCGACTGAGTGAGGGAAATAAAGTTGAGTTAGAAAGGTGCAGTTCTATTGCTAGTTAGATTTTCTTTTGAGGTTTTCTACTAGCATATTTTTATTATACTTGGATATCACGGTGATGTTTTCATGCATGTATGTAAAGCAGTTTGATTATCTTCACCTCCTATTGCCCTCTCCTCCTCATGATCCCACTGATCACTTCCCCTTCCACCTAGTTACCCACACTGTCTACTTTCATGTTTTGCTTTGTTTTTAATGGACCAATGAGTCTTTTAGGGTTACTTACCAGAGCACAGATGAGGGTTTATTTACAGGAGCATGAATAATTTACCAGTGGATATACTACTGAGAAAAATGTCTCCCCCTCTCCCAATAACTGTTAACTGCCTATAGAGGGCTGGGAGCTCCTCCCTTCAGTAGTCTTTAACTGCTTATAAATCCACAGGGAGTACTGGGGACTGCTAAGATTTGTAATGAGAATCTCCAAGTAGTTCACAAGTATAAAATCAAGCTTTAATTGGAGGGATGGGCTGTAGAGGATAATGACAATTAAATTCAGTATCATCATTTCTTAAATACGGTTATAAATGCTGGGCGTGGTGGCACATGCCTTTAATCCTTGCACTCAGGAAGCAGAGGCAGGTGGATCTCAAGACCAGCCTGGTCTATATAGTAAGTTCCAGGCTAGCTGGGGCTACAGGGAGACCCTCCCTGTTTCAGAAAGATAATAATTTTTATACCCAAGGAAGTTATGTGCAATATGTTATGATTTTTCTATAACAAAATGCACTTACTATATAAAAATGATCTTGTTTTACTCTTAGATTTCTTTGTAGCAGTTTAAATTTTATTAGTACATTTTTGGTACATTAAAGTTACGTATGTATATATGTAAAATAATGTAAAAATGCGTGCATATAATCTAAAAGGTATAAAACTTAGTCTTCCTGTTATACTGCTTTTGTCAGAATTTCATAGAGCCTATTTAGGGGGATTTATGAACTTCAGAGACACAGACTTTGTAAGACTATTGTAGCTACAAGTTTAAAATATGCACAGTTAGCAAAAATTAATTTTAAAAGAAAATTGCATTCCTATGAACTATTTAAAAACTTCTGTGTACCCTTCTAAACTCTTTCCTATTCCTATATTTATGTACACATTTTAATATTTATGTTTTCAAAGTTTAAACAGTAAATTTTGTAGATGTAATTTACTCTGCCTTTGTGCAAAGTAGGATTTTCCATTTTCTCTTTTTGCTATAAAGTCTTTTTAATAGAGAAGAGTCACTCTTTGGTATTTATTAAAGAGACCTTGGAATGCCCCTCCTCCTGTATTTGTCTGATGGCTTCCTCATAGTGACATTTTGTTCATCTTTGTATCCCAATATTTCCTGTAAACTGAATTTTGGATCTTAAAGCTTAAGGAATTCAAGGATTTTTAAAACTATAATGATGATAGGAAACTTCCACATAGTTTTTAGGAGCCCTTTTGAGGATGAAAAAGAGTGGTCTTAACAATTACATAGGATAACACCGGAAAGGACTTTTCTAGGCAAGTCAGGAAAATATAGTCCCCTGTCATTAGTGTCATGTTGTATCATGTGAAAGGAGTGGACACTATCTAGTTAACCCACCATTAGGTTAGTGATTTTGTTGTTGTTTGAGACAGGGTTAACCCTTGCTGGCCTAGAACGCCCTACATAGACTGGGCTGGCCTCGATCTAGAGATCTACCTGCCTCTGCCTCCTGAGTGGTGGGATTAAAGGTGTGCACCACCACCCCAGGCCTTATATTAGTGATTTTAGTTAATCATGGATTAAAGTAATGACAGTCCGATTCCTATATTATCTAGTTTTATTTTTTGGCATGTGGCTCAAATATAATCTATTAGTTGTGACATTCTTCAGCATTATACAAATAAGTCATTTCCCATCAAGCATTTACATAGCAATTATAGTAACAATGGAGGAGCCTCTATCAGCAGCTTTATTTGAGAAATGTGTTTTTAAGATTTTTGTCTCCTACCTTCTGGCATTCTGTAAAAAGAGAGCTTTTATTTACAAGGACCTATTGTCAGTTTTTGAAATGTAGTTTTTGTTATGTAGACAGGAGAAATTAGTTCTTTTTAAATTACCAGTTACATGAACTTAAAAGTTGTTTGTCCATTAACTTATTTTTAATGTCCAGGCTTTTGCAGCCCAGGAAGACTTGGAAAAGACCAAAGAGGAGTTAAAAACTGTAATGTCTGCTCCCCCACCGCCCCCTCCACCAGTCATTCCTCCCACGGAAAACGAGCATGATGAGGAGGACGAGAACCACGCTGAGGCCAGCGCCGAACTGTCCAGCGATGGGGTGATGAACCACAGGAGCGAGGAAGAGCGTGTGACCGAAACGCAGAAAAATGAGCGTGTGAAGAAACAGCTCCAGGTACCTGCAGGCTTGTCACACGTTCCCCAGCTGCAGTAAACTCCCTTTCAAAGAACTGAGGTCTTCACAGCAAGAGTCAGCCTGTGATTGATTGTCCTGCAGGAACATCGTCTCGTTTTTCCATCCTACAATTCTAATGCTTTTGCTAATTGATGAGTTAGTTAATTATTGGACTCAATTTGAAAAGTACAAAGTATTTAGTGCAGTGTAGAAGGTAAATTTACTTTTTAAACAGTGAAGTGTGCATTGAAACATGATTATTAATTGATGATATATTGCATTACTTTATTTGTATTTTATAATAGCAAAAGGTCAGTTTATTAAATTTACATTTAAGGTCAGTGTAGGAAATTTTCAGGTTTTTACAGCATTTTAGAAATTATCTAATTTTTAAATTGGTGAAATCATTATTAATAAAGGAGATGATAGTTACAATATTAAGGCTTTTGGAGAAAGCCTCCATTTCATATAGTAACTTTCCTCTATTAAAGTTAAAGCAGTTTAGAATATACAAAATATTATGATTGATGACCATAGAAAAGAAAAGCCATAGATATCCTCCCCCAGCATGACCATTATTGAAATTAAAAGAAGCTTGCATGCTATAAAGAAAATCTCTTCATGGTGGAAAAATTAGTGTATTAAAAAGTCAGATTTACTATATATGTATTTTTGCATCTTTAGACCATTTTCATAAATTTTTAAAATTTATGAAATAGTCATACTTTAAATGTATTATTTATTTTTTAAACTAGGCATTAAGTTCAGAGTTAGCCCAAGCCAGAGATGAAACCAAGAAGACCCAGAATGATGTTCTTCACGCCGAGAATGTGAAAGCAGGCCGTGATAAGTACAAGACTCTTCGACAGATCCGACAAGGCAATACGAAGCAGCGTATTGATGAGTTTGAAGCAATGTGAGAGCTGTTCTTTTGCATATATGTTCTTCATAAGCTGAACCACCATCAGAGAAAAGCAGGCCTTTGCAGATGCGGTGGAATGCAACCCACCTTGCCAAAGCACTCATACCAGTTTGACTGTGGTCGCTAACAGGAAATTGAACAGGAGCTCTTCAACATTAAGGCAGTGTAATGTCATGCTCAGTCTTTTTGGGGGGGGGGGCAGGGAATGAATAATAGTATTCGATCACTTCTTTTTACATTTTTCTTTTGTTTTTGTTTCTTTTTTTCTGTTGAATATTGACACTAATGACCATGTCTGACAAATGTTTATGTGTGGTTTGAACACTTTGTACATCTTAAAGGATAATGGTGGACATTTCATCGCATGTTTAGAGAACTCAGTTTTTCCGTGCTTAACCTGCTTACATTTCCACATTCCCTCTCACATTTTGTCAGTGTGCCCTTCTCACATCCTGCCGTGTCCCTGGAGCTATAACTCTGCTATCACACAGCTCACTCACTGGTGTATTTAAAATGAGGCAGCAGGGTAGACAGAATCCTGCAGCCATTGTATGGAAGGTGACTGCATTATGATTAGAACATTTAATAGTGCAGTGTGTAGCAGGTGGTTTATTTTTTTCAAAATCCCAACTTAATTATATCATTGGACATTTGTTTTTTATTAAGTAAATACAGTCATCTTTGACAGCTGCAGTGATTGGTGTTTTGTGTCTGTGATCCTTTGGTGGTTTTCTTGTCTGCTCCTTCAGATGTAGCCAGCAGGCAGTAATGCCCAGAAAGATGTATGATGAAGCACTGCCTGCAAGCAAGTGGGCTCTGAAGAAATCCAAAATTTTTGTTTTTTAATTGACTTATAAAAAACAGATTTCTAATAAAACATTCCATTCTTGGTAATTGATTTTAATCAGTAAGAAGAAAATCTGGACTTTCCTGGAAGAGCAACATATGAAAACATCAGTTCTAAGAAGGGGACAGTAATGTTCCCTCTCTCCTATACCCGTGCCGACTGTTGAAACAGTGGTGTGTGGCTGTGTGTTTCATTATACATGGACAGTCTCAGTCATGTCCTTCGTTGAATATACTTTTGAGATTCCGTTTTGTGTTTGTTTTGTTTTTTCAGAATACCTGAGTGCTAATTTTTAAACTGCCTTTTTGTTGAATTAAATTTTGGGACTCTAATTGTATTAAAATTGTATGTTCTCTCTGTTGTACATTTTCCTGGAGGCGTGTTACATGTCTGAGGAAGTGTGTATGTCTCTATGTGAAGAGATGTTGCCATTGCAGCGTGTGAAGAATGTCTGTTCCTTTATTTCTGATATGATGGTTACATTATTTTAGCATATTTGATTTCTAAATCACTGTGCTTATTTTATTTTCAGTCACTAAAAACCTAATTTCAATTACGTCTTACTGGTGATGTCTTTCTAGGTAGAAAGATGTTCTCATATTTTTTTGCTCATGAAACACCTGGGTTTAAAGATATGGAAAGCCTTGTTTTCTCTGTGTGGTTCAGCTACTTCCGTTTGGTATTATGCACTCAAACTTAAACTTATCTATTAAAATTGCCATTTTATTAAACATTTTTCATGCACAGTAGATTCAACTTGTGTCTGAAAATATCTCTTGTGGCTTTTTTGATTTTGCTGACTTTTTAAAAGGATTAATTTGGGTAGACATTATGAAAAGGAAAGGCTTTACTTAATATATTTTCTGGACTCTGTAGGGCAAAAGATAACTGGTTGACCTTGAAGTGACTACTGTCCAGTGGTTGTGCACATGCCTCTGAATCCATGAGAGTGCTTTTGGCTTTTGAAAGCTGAGAGGGAGAGATGCTGGACCTTACTGTTCATGCTTTGAAACATAAACGTTCACGTTTCCAAAGCATTAAAGCAATTGTCCTAATCACTAAAAAGTAAATGCATTGGATTTTCCTTCCTTTGAATTGTGTGCATTACCACACCAGTGGTAATTACTACACCAGTTGTTACAGTGTTGAGAAGTTACCAGTTTTGTTTGCTGTTCATGTCTATTTGTAGATGAGGATTCAAATGGGTTTAATCCATTTTTAAAGCTGTGTGAAGTTTTCTAAACAGGAACAGCCATTTGCAATAAGAGTTTTCATAGTGATTAAACCAATCATAACTTTTATCATTAGCAGTTGGGAGCACATGTTCTTACAGCAATGTAAAAATACACTAATGAATATTTGGTGAATTCCCATAGGCTTTTACCATTAGCATAAATTTGTGTTGTACAAATAAATTAGT